AGGGTGGGAATGGAAAACAACTCTTAATGGGCACAGAATGTCTTTTTGGGGTGATCGAAATATTCTTTTTAAAATTTTTAATTAATTTATCAATTAATTAATTATTATTATTATTATTTTTAGAGACAGGATCTTGTTCTGCGGCCTTGGCTGGAGTTCAGTGGTGTGATCATAGCTCACTGCAACCTTCAACTCCTGGGCTCAAGCAATCCTCCCACCTCAGTCTCCCAAGTAGCTGGGATTACAGGCACTCGCCACCAGGCCTGGCTTATTTTCGTTTAATGTTTTGTAGCCATAGGGTCTTGCTTTGTTGTCCAGGCTGGTCTCAAACTCTTGGCTTCAAGTGATCCTGCCGCCTCAGCTTCCCAAAGTGCAGGGATTACAGACCTGAGCCACCACACCCAGCCTGGAAATATCCTAAAATTGGATTGCAGTGATAGTTACACAGCTCTGTACATTTATTAAAAATTATCAACCCGGCACAGTGGCTCATGCCTATAATCCCAGCACTTTGGGAGGCCGAGGTGGGTGGATCATGAGGTCGGGAGTTCAAGACCAGGTCGGGAGTTCAAGACCAGCCCGGCCAACATGGTGAAACCCCTACTTTAGTTCCTACTAAAAATACAAAAAAAAAAAAAAAAATTAGCCAGGCACGGGGGCGGGTGCCGGTAATGCCAGCTACTTGGGCGGCTGAGGCAGAGAATTGCTTGAACCAGGGAGGCGGAGGTTGCAGTGAGCCGAGATCACGCCACTGCACTCCAGCTTGAGCAACAGAGCGAGGCTGTCTCAAAAAAAAAAAAAAAAATTATCGAATTGTATGACCAAATGGATGAAGTCTATTACATGTAAATGGTACCTCAATAAAGCTGTTCATGAAAAGCCAAAACAGAAAACAGATCCAATAATAGTATCTATTTTATGCAGCTGTTGTGAGGATTAAATGGGCTAATCTATGTAGTACTCTTGAAACAGTCGTAGGGTGAATACTCAAGAACTGGATTCCTATTTTTTTTTTTGAGACGGAGTCTCACTCTGTTGCCCAGGCTGGAGTGCAGTGGTGCGATCTTGGCTCACTGCAAGCTCCGCCTCCCAGGTTCACGCCATTCTCCTGCCTCAGCCTCCTGAGTAGCTGGGACTACAGGCGCCCACTAGCACACCCGGCTAATTTTTTGTGTTTTTAGTTGAGACTGGGTTTCACTGTGTTAGCCAGGATGGTCTCGATCTCCTGATCTCGTGATCTGCCCGCCTCGGCCTCCCAAAGTGCTGGGATTACAGGCGTGAGCCACCACGCCCGGCCAGTGGGTTCCTGTTATTAACAAATGTGGTTGCGATCACACGTGTAAAGTGTTCAGCAAATGAAAGACAAACAACAGGTCGTGTTCCCTACATAACCACAACTCCTTCAATAATCACTGTCATTTGGTGAGTTTATCATTCTCTGCGTCTGTCCCACACCTCTGGCCTCAGTTTTTCCACCTGCACAATGAAAAAGGTGGGCTCTCTCTCTAAGGCCGTCTTCTCTTTGTCAACTCTGTATTTTGTTCTGAAAAGGTTTCTCTCCGAGGCAGCAGATCTGCAATGGGAAAGGTGGGCAAACCCATAGGGCAGACAGAGGTGCGGCCTGCGGTTCCTGGAGACCAACATGTGTGTAGGAAGCGACTTGAAAGCGGGCTGTGTGGTGGGAGCTGATGGGGAGGGTAAGATTGGCCTGGATAAGGGTTCGAGTACCAGGTGTGCCAATTTGTAACCATGATATCTTGGATAAGGGACGTCCTCTCTGCATCTGGAAAATGGAGTCGGGGGGAGGGTTCCTGCCTCCCCGTGGAGTGGTGAGGATTCACTGAGATCATGTGTATACCGGCCAGGGAGAATAATACCTAAAAGTACCAACAGCAACAACCAACAGCAACAACAGCCTTTTTTTTTTTTTTTTCTAGTTCTGTCACCCAGGCTGGAGTTCTGTGGCATAATCTCGACTCACTGCAACCTCCACCTCCCAGGTTCAAGCGATTCTCCTGCCTCAGCCTCCCGAGTAGCTGGGATTACAGGCGCACACCACCATGCTCAGCTAATTTTTGTATTTTTAGTAGAGATGGGGTTTTACCATGTTGGCAAGGCTGCTCTCGAACTCCTGACCTGAGATGATCCACCCACCTCAGCCTCCCAAAGTGCTGGGATTACAGGTGTGAGCCACCGCGCCCAGCCAACAGCAACAACTACTTGCCAGGACCAAGCACTGTCTTCAGCCCTTTCCACTAAGTAACTCATTTAATATGCAAGGTTCATTTCATAGTAGTGATTACTGAAGTAGGACAAATGGCTTCTTTGCTTTAAGCCCTAATTTGGCCCTTCTGTAGGTAGAGCTATATAATTCCTTTGTTTGATAGTTTTGTCCATGATATTGTATGGATCAGGTGTCTGGCCACGGTAGGCTCTCACTAAATAGGAGCCCACATTAGGATATGGTAATAGGGAGCCACTGATGGTTCCTGAGGAGGGAGTAGCTTTAATATAATAAAAGCAGACTTCAGCCTCCCATCTCCTCAACACTTGAGGCTTGGTTATAGTTTCTCATAGAATCTAGTTCTGTTGTTTCTTTGTTTTTGAGATGGAGTCTCGCTCTGTCACCCAGGCTGGAGTGCAGTGGTGTGATCTCCGCTCACTGCAAGCTCCACCTCCCAGGTTCCCACCATTCTCCTGCCTCAGCCTCCCGAGTAGCTGGGACTACAGGGGCCCACCACCACGCCCGGCTAATTTTTTTTTGTATTTTTAGTAGAGACGGGGTTTCACTGTGTTAGCCAGCACGGTCTCGATCTCCTGACCTCGTGATCCACGCACCTCGGCCTCCCAAAGTGCTGGATTACAGATAGGCATGAGCTGCTGCACCGGTCCATCATTATTTGCACAGGGCAAGAGAGAACCATCGAAGGTGCTGGGGGAAGGCAGGATGTCAAGAGAAGGAAAGAGAAAGGTGTTTAAGGAAGATTAGCTGAGAGATATCCCTCTTCCTTCCACTCCTAGAACCTAAATAAACAGGTAAAAAAGAAAACAACTGAGCCAGGCACAGTGGCTCACGCCTGTAATCCCAGCACTTTGGGAGGCTGAGGGGGGCGGATCATGAGGTCAGGAGTTCGAGACCAGCCTGTCCAATATGGTGAAACCCCATCTCTACTAAAAATACAAAAATTAGCCAGGTACGGTGGCAGGCGCCTGTAATCCCAGCTACTCAGGAGGCTAAGGCAGGATAATCGCTTGAATCCGGGAGGCAGAGGTTGCAGTGAGCTGAGATCGTGCCACTGCACTCCAGCCTGGGTGACAGAGCAAGACTTCACCTTGAAAAAAAAAAGAAAAGCCAACAACTGGAAGATGTGTAGAAATTGAAACTTCCCACCCCACCCCCAATTACTTGCAGTTTCTAAAATACATAGTAATGGCCAGGTGCAGTGGCTCATGCTGGTAATCCCAGTACTTTGGGAGGCTGTGGCAGGGGGTTTCCTTGATCCCAGGAGTCCAAGACCAGCCTGGGCAACATAGGGAGACACCGTCTCCACAAAAAAATTAAAAATTAGTCAAGCATGGCTGGGCGCAGTGGTTCATGCCTGTAATCCCAGCACTTTGGGAGGCCGAGGATGGGAGGATCACGAGGTCAGGAGATCAACACCAACCTGGCTAACACGGTAAAACCCCATCTCTAGTAAAAATACAAAAAATTGGACGGGCGCGGTGGCTCACGCCTGTGATCCCAGCACTTTGGGAGGCTGAGGCGGGTGGATCACGAGGTCAGGAGTTTGAGACCATCCTGGCTAACACAGTGAAACCCTGTCTCTACTAAAACTACAAAAAATTAGCTGGGTGGGTGCCTGTAGTCCCAGCTACTCAGGAGGCTGAGGTGGGAGAATGGCGTAAACCTGGGAGGCAGAGCTTGCAGTGAGCCGAGATGGTGCCACTGCATTCTGGCCTGGGCGACAGAGCGAGACTCCGTCTCCAAAAAAAAAAAAAAACCAAAAAGCAAAAACAAAAAATCAGCCTGGCGTGGTGGTCGGCGCCTGTAGTCCCAGCTACTCGGGAGGCTGAGGCAGGAGAATGGCGTGAATCCGGGAAGGGCAGCTTGCAGTGAGTGGAGATCGCGCCACTGCACTCCAGCCTGGGTGACAGGGTGAGACTCCATCTCAAAAGAAAATAAATAAACAAAATACAAATTAGTCAAGCATGATGGTGCACACCTGTAGTCCCAGCTACTTGGGAGGCTGAGGAGGGAGAATCCCCCGAACCAGGAGGTTGAGGCTGCAGTGAGCTGTGATGGCACCACTGCACTCCAGCCTGGGCAACAGAGCAAGATGCTGTGTCAAAAAAAAACCAAAACAATAACAAAAAAACAAACCTGTAGTACCCACCTCCTAGCCCTTGCCCGTTTTTTCTTTCTTTGGTGTTGTCTTCTCATGGATGTTTCTTTCTAATGCCTGGTCCCCCCTCCATCTTCATTCAAATCAAACATCACCTCACCAGAGAAGTCCTGACCCTCAAGTCCTGCTCTGCCATCATACTGTCTGGTGGTTTACTCTTGGTAGCCCTTATACCTGGTGCTGTATTGCATTCTGCTGGGACTTTTTTCAATGATGTAATGTTCTAGATCTGTGCTGTCCCGTATGGACAGCCACCAGTCACATGGGGCTCTTTGGCCCTTGAAACAGCGTGACTGAGGCCGGGCGCAGTGGCTCATGCCTGTAATCCCAGCACTTTGGGAGGCTGAGGCGGGCGGATCACCTGAGGTCAGGAGTTCGAGACCAGCCTGGCCAATGTGGTGAAACCCCGTCTCTACTAAAAATACAACAAAATAGTCAGGTGTGGTAGTGGGCTCCCATAATCCCAGCTACTCAAGAGGCTGAGGCAGGAGAATCCCTTGAACCTGGGAGGTGCAGGTTGCAGTGAACCAAGATCGTGCCATTGTACTCCAGCCTGGGTGACAAGAGTGAAACTCTCTTTCAAAAAAAAAAAAAGTGTGACTGAGGAACTGAGCTTTTACATTTATTTCATCTTAATGACTTTACATTTCCGTATTCTATATTTAAATGGAAATAGCCATGTGTGGCTGCTGGATACCATATTGGACAGTGAAGATGTAGAATATCCCATCATCACAAAAAGTTCTCCCAGACTGGGCAATATAGCAAGACTCCGTCTCTACAAGAAATTAAACAATCAGCTGGGGGTGGTGGCATGCACCTGTAGTCCCAGCTCCTTGCAAGGCTGAGGCAAGAGGATTGCTTGGATCTGGGAGTTTGAGACTGCAGTGAGCTATGATCGCACTACAGTACTGCAGCCTGGGCAACAGAATGAGGGAAGAAAGGTTATGGAAACTTTTCTAGGAAAAAAAAAGGTATGTTGGCCAATGCAGGGCTAGAATTCCAGCTCTTTCAGAGGAGGGTATTGGACTCCTTCTCCTCAGTGCCTAGTACCACCGCTGACACAGAGTAAGGGTGTGGTAGAGGTTGACTGAGAAACTGGCGCAGAGCTTCCACAGGGCAGCAGTGACGATGATCTATCTTCTCACATTCCTGTTTCTTCTCAACCCAGCCTTCACCGGCTTCTTGCTTGGTTGAGGGCCACATATTTTCTGATGCATCTGTGTCCTTCCTGCTCCGAACCCAAGCTCAGAGTTGGCTGGACAAATGCTGACTCGCCCCAGCGCCCCCAGCCTGCCCCACCTCCACAGAACACCTCGCTCTCGTGGGTTTCACGAACTCACATTTATTCACAGACAGACAAAGGGACAAGGACAGACCTTTGCTCACTGGGGACCCCCAGGGTCTGGCAGTTCCAAACAGGTGATGGTGTCCAGTGTGTGTAACGGGGGACAGGCAGGCGGGGGCGTCCCCACCAGTCTCCATCCCTCTGGCCAACTGTCCGCCGCCTTTTTTTCCAAGTCGTCCTGCCTTAAGACACATGTTGGGGTGAGCGGTTCCTAACCAGCATCAGGGGTTCTGGGGGCGGGCGATGGGAGAGGGAGGGGCAGTCCAGGGCCCCCCACTCCTTAGTGTCAAGGGCGTGAAGGGGACGGGTGGGTAGACAGAGGAGGTGGCTCCTTCAACTTCCCTCCTCCATTCTGCAAACCGGGGAGCTCAGGCGGAGCGGCGGAGGGCAGGGCGGCGAAGGTCAGGAGGCCAGGCCCCCCAGCCCGCGCAGGTGAGCCTTGCTGTCTACCTCTTCCTCCTCCATCTCGAAAGCTGAGTGGTCTTGGCTGTCGAAACAGGAGGCGCTGAGGAAGACAGGGGGAGCCGGTGGGGACTGGGGTGGGGTCCCCGGAGAGGGCGGCTCTTCCTTAATGTTTGCGAGGGGCAGCGGGAGCCCTTCTTCCTCCTGCTCGGCCTTCAGGGGCTGCGGGGGCGGCGGCGGCGACGACGGCGGGGCCTGGGCCTGCAGTGCCTGCAGCGCGGCGGCCCTCTCCAGCTCTGCGCGGTGGCAGCGCTGGTGGCGCAGGAGGCTGTAGGCGCGCGAGAACCGGCGCGGGCAGCGGGGACACGGGTGCGGTGCCGGGCCGCCTGCGTGCACCTGTGCGTGGCGCGCCAGGTCGGCCAGGCGCTTGAACTCCCGCTGGCAGCGCACGCACTGGAAAGGGCGCGCTCCTGAGTGGGTCACCCCGTGCTGCCGCAGGTGCGCCCGGCGCCTGAAACCTTTGCCGCACTCTGGGCACCAGAAGCGGGGCTCCCCGGCTGGGGGCCGGGCCGGGGCGGCGTCGCCTCCGTTCTGCCCGCCTTCTCCCCCTTCCGAGGCACCCCCGCACTCCGCCCCCTCGCCCCCCTCCGGCCCCTTGGCTGAGTTCCGTGCACCTGAGGCCTTGTCGTCCTTCTTGCCCGCCGCGGGCAGCGGGGCCAGCAGGCTGAGCGGGCCGTGGACGCGGCGGTGCTGGCGGAGGTAGGAGGCGAGGCGGAAGGCCAGGCCGCAGTCTGGGCACACGAAAGGGCGGTCGGTGGAGTGGACCAGCCGGTGGCGCGACAGGGACCAGGGCCTGGCGAAGGCCTTGAGGCAGATGGAGCACTGGTGTCGTTTGGGGCGTGGTGGAGGGCCCCCTTCACCCTCCTGTTCGCCCTCGGGGCGCAGACACGGGTGCGCCTTGAGCTCGCCCTTGGTGGCGAAGGCTTCGCGGCAGCGCAGGCACAGCAGCGTCCAGTCCGCCTGGAGCAGGACCTGTTTCTCCTCCTGCCGCCCGGCCGCCAGCGCCAGCTCGGCCCTCAGCTCTGCCGCCCCAGCCTCGGCCTCCTCCGACTCCGACTCCCGGGGCTCCGCGGTGCTGGTGGGCGCTGCCAGCGTGGCCTGCTCCCCCGCAGGCCACGTCTCAGGCCATGCCGCGGCCGCCTCCTCCTCCGTGGCCCCCGCTGCAGCCGTGGTGGGCTGCTCCGAGCCCTGGTCCTGCGGGCCCCAGCTGGGCTCAGCCGTCTCCTTGGCCACCCTCTCGATGGCCAGCTCTACCTCGCCGCCCGCGTGCTCCTGAGCCAGGTGGCGCCTGAGCTGGGCGGGTTCCGGGAAGGTGCGGGGGCAGGCGGCGCAGCGCAGCGGGGGCTGGGGCCCGTGGCCGCGCAGGTGGCGGGAGAGGTGGGCCGGCCGGCGGAAGGCCTTGGGGCACAGCGGGCAGGCATGGGGCCGGAGCCCAGAGTGGCTCAGCCGGTGCCGGGAGAGGTAGTAGGGGAAACGGAAGAGGCGGCCGCAGGTGGGGCAGGGCAGGGGCGCCCGAGGGGCTCCAGCGCCTCCCCTGCCACGGCCACGGCCTCGACCACGGCCTCGGCCACGGCCACGGCCTCGGCCACGGTGAGGTGGGCTGCCCTGGGCCGGTGGAGGAGGCTGCGGATCCATGCCTGTGGAGAAAGAGGGGAGAGATGGGAAGCGGGGCAGAGATAAAAAGAGGTGCGTGGGGTGTGGCAGAGAGAGAAACAGAGACAGAGTCAGAGATGGAGAGGCAGAGAGGGCCAGGTATTCAGCCAGGGGAGAGAGAGATGAGACAGAGACAAAGATGAGAGACACAGAGGAGAGGTGAGAGATGGAGAGACAGGAAGAGAGAGATCAGAGACAGAGCGACAGAGCAGGGAATAGAGACAGGAGAAGGCAGAGATGGGAGACACAGAGAAGTGGGGATGGACAGACAGAGACCAGGAGACACAGAAAGACAGGGTGGTGAAAGGCAGAGCAGAGAAGAGACAGAGAAGAGCGAGGAATAGCCAGCAGAGAGACAGAGACACAGAGAAGAGGAAACAAAGAGACTTGGAGACCCAGAGGCAGAGATAGTGCAAGCACAGAGATCAGAAGAGCAGTGGCGGGCTGGGGACCGGGGAGACGGGGAGACAGGGAGACAGAGACACAGAGGGAGTGAACTGGGTAGAGGCACGGAGGGGGACAAAGTCAGCGAACCGCTTCTGCTCCAGGCCCCCCGGCCAGGCTGAACGTTTTGGGAGGGGCTGGGACACAGCCCATGGGGCCTGAGTGGAGGGGGTGGGATTCGAAGCCAGTAGGCCCCGGAAATAGAGTGTGTTCCCAGACACCAGGGGCTGGGAGAGGTCAGGGAGTAGGAGGGTTCAGACTTCTGGTCTGAGTTAGGAGGGGGCTAGGGGCCCAGAGTCTTGGGGCTGAGGGGGGTGGGAGCTGGGAACTGAGACTCCTGGGTCCAGGTCATGATGGATGGGGGAATCTGGACTCGGGTATGGAGGAGGTATGGATTCCTGGGTCCCGGTGTAGGAGGGGCTGGGGAGGGGGCTGGGCTCCTAGGACAAGGGGGAGGCGGGGGCTGGGGACCCAGCTGCAGGGAATCCCCAGGGAGGAGGCGGCTGAGGGCCGGACCCCTGGACCCGGGAGGGAGGTTGGTGGGGGTCAGGGTCCCAGGTCCTAGAGGGGGGCCAATCTCCTCTAGACCAAGCCTGCAGCTCCCCGAAGGCATGATAAGCAGAATTGGGGCCGGGTCGAGGCCTTGAGGATTTCTCAGCCCTGGGCCTGGGGCTCGGCCCTGGTCGCTGGGGCCGGGTTCTTACCTCGCCTCCTTGGCTCCTTTCTTCCTTCCCCACGGCCGGCCAAACGCGGACGGTGGTGGCGGGGAGGGAGGGGGCCTGAGCGTGGTGGGGGGTGGAGGAGGAGGTTGGGCTCGGTGTCACTGCCTAAGCCTTCCCCCCGGAAACCTGGCCTTCATCGGAGCCTGAAAAAGGAAAGACTGGCTGGGAAGCCGGAAGCGGGAGGACGGGGGATCTGGAGAGGGGAGGGCGGGCAGCTTGCACTACAGGGTCCTGTGAGGGGAGGGGGCTGGGGGCCTGTCCCCTGGGCTCCCAGAGGGCAGAGGGTGCTGAGGGCCTGGGACGCTGGGTCCAGCTACCCCCCGGCTCATCAACACACACACACACATATTCATTCATTCCTTCAACAAATACACATTTATCAAGTCCTGTCTGTGCCAGGCACTGTGTCAAGCCAGGGGGGCGGCCGGGGGAGGAAGATGAATGAAGCAGTGACAGAAGCTTCAGAAAGTACCGGCACTCTGGATCAGAACCTGACTCCAGCCTTCCCTTGGCTGTCTGGGTGAAGGATTCTCCCACTTTGAGCCTCAGTTTCCCCCTTTGTGATAAGTCCCTGCATATACTCATTTGACCCAAAGCGACCAATATTTACTGAATATTTACTACGGACCAGTCTGCATATATTTGCCTACATATACGCATACTCACTGGGACCTTAGCAACCACTGTTTACTGAGCACCTACTATGGGCTGGCGCTGTCCTTGGTGCTGGAGCCACCGTGGCAAAAATAGGGGCTCACTGTCTGATGGGGAAGGCAGATAGACACGGATCAATCACTCTGGAGTGCGTGTGGGGGAACGTGTGCTCCGAGGCAGGGAACTGCTATGGGAATGCAGAGATCAGAAGGCACTGAACTGAGCTTGCACTGGGAGGAGCTGATTCCTGAGGTCTTCCTGGAGGCAGCAATGTTTCAGCTGAAATTGGCAGAATGAAACCAACCTGGCCACATCTCAAAAACCTAATCTGGAGCAGAAAAGGCATTCTGCAGGGGTATACCCGCAGTTTGACGCTGTTTGTTTAAGGTTACATTCCTGCCAAACAGTGCTAAGGAGAGTGTGAGCAAACAGGTCCTTTCATACCCAGCTGGGGCAAGTAGAACTTGGAACACTCTTACCGAGCCAGCAATTCCAGGAATTTATTCTTCAGAAGTATCTACTCAGAACTGCACAAAATAATGTCTGCACTAGGTTAATCATTGCATTACTGCAGATCACTGCAAACAGCTGAAACCAATCTAAACACCCATCTGTAGGAGATTTGAGTAATCAATCATGACGGATCCACCCAGTGGAATACTAGGTGTCCATAGAAAAGAACAAAGAAGCTCACCGTGTGAATATATGGTAAGTCTCCAAGTGATAACCTGTAGAAGAGAAAAATAGAAGGTCAAGTACAGCCTGCAGCCTGTTCTGGGCTTGTGTGTGTTCTGGGCTTGTGTGTGTTCTGGGATTGTGTCCAGATGAACTGGAACAAGAGAGAAGAAACTGAAATTGGCAACATAATCTAACTTCCAGCACAGAAATTTACTACACTCTATCCTTCTGTTTTTTTGTTTTTTTGTTTTTTTGTTTTGTTTTGTTTTGGTTTGGTTTTGGTTTTTTGAGATGAAATCTCCCTGTTGCCAAGGATGGCTGGAGGGAGTGCAGTGGTGTGATCTCAGCTCACTGCAGCCTCGACCTCCCGGGCTCAAGCAATCCTCCTACCTCAGCCTCCTGAGTAACTGGGACTACAAGAGTATGCCACCATGTCAGGCTAATTTTTGTATGTTTTGTAGAGATGGGGTCTCCTTATGTTGCCTGGGCTGGGCTTGAACTCCTGGGCTCAAGCGATCCACTTGCCTCGGCCTCCCAAAGTGCTGGAAATACAGACGTTAGCCGCTGTGCCCAGCCTTTCGTACTTTTTGAATTTGAAACCGTGCAAATGTGCTATATACTCAAAAAAGTAAAGGAGGCCAAGCATGGTGGCTCACACCTATAATCTCAGCACTTTGGGAGGCCCACGTGGGCAGATCACCTGAGACCAGGAGTTCAAGACCAGCCTGGCCCACATGGTGAAACCCTGTCTCTACAAAAATACAAAAATTGGCCAGGCATAATGGCACCTGCCTATAATCCCAGCTACTCAGGAGGCTGAGGCAGGAGAATGGCTTGAACCTGGGAGGCGGAGATTGCAGTGAGCTGAGATAGTGCCATTGTACTCCAGCCTGGGTGACAGAGCAAAACTCCATCTTAAAAAAAAAAAAGTAAAGGAAAAAGAAATACATGGGGATTATAAAAATAAATAAAATGAAAACTAATAGCTTCCTCTTGTGAGTGTATTACAAATGTGAACCCATTTACTCCTGGCTTTATGAAGTAGGTAACATTACTTTTCCCTTTCACAGAGGATGAAAGTGAGGTACTAGAAGTTTCCAAATCCAGTGAGTCTCAGTAAGAAGTTCCACTTCACAAACAGGTAGGAGAAATGATAGTGGATCAGAAGCATGATTTAAAAAAAAATAATAAAAGGCCGGGCGCGGTAGCTCACGCCTGTAATCCTAGCACTTTGGGAGGCCGAGGCGGGTGGATAACGAGGTCATTAGATCGAGACCAGCCTGGCCAACACAGTGAAACACCGTCTCTACTAAAAATATAAAAATTAGCTGGGCATGGTGGTGCTCGCCTGCAATCCCAGCTACTCCGGAGGCTGAGGCAGGAGAATCGCTTGAACCTGGGAGGCGGAAGTTGCAGTGAGCCGAGATTGTGCCACTGCACTCCAGCCTGGCGACAGGGCGAGACTCCGTCTCAAATAAATAAATACATACATAAAATAGGGATGGGGTCTCACTATGTTGCCCAGGCTAGTCTTGAAATTCCTGAGCTCAAGCAATCCTTCCACCTCAGCCTCCCAAAGTGCTGGGATTACAGGCATTAGCCACCATGCCCAGACTAGGAGCATGGTTTTTAAAAGCACCTTGTTTGTAATACTATATTTTAAAGAATGTATACCATGAAATAAGAGTCTGAAAATATCTGTGGTAATAATAAGCACCAAATTCAATATATAAGTTATGTTTGAGATAGGAGAGGCAATCAGATCTTGGAGGGGGTGGTGTGTGGGGAGTCATTTGTATCCCTAATAGTTCAAAGCTGGTAGTCAGAATATAGGTGTGTGTATTTTAACTTTTTTTTTTTGTAAAATACACTTAAAATTTACAGTTTTAACCATTTTAAATCACACAGCTCAATGGCATTAAGTAAATGTTGCACAACTATCCACACTGCCTGGTTCCAGAACTCTTTCTTTCTTTCTTTCTTTCTTTTTTTTGAGACAGAGTTTCACTCTTGTTGCCCAGGCTGGAGTGCAATGGTGCAGCTCACCTCAATCTCCGCCTCCCGGGTTCAAGCGATTCTCCTGCCTCAGCCTCCCAAATAGCTAGGATGACAGGCATGCGCCACCACGCCTAGCTTATTTTGTATTGTTAGTAGAGACAGAGTTTCTCCGTGTTGGCCAGGCTGGTCTCAAACTCCCAACTTCAGGTGATCCTCCTGCCTCGGCCTCCCAAAGTGCTGGGATTACAGGCATGAGTCTCTTTCTTTCCTTCCTTCCTTCCTTCCTTCCTTCCTTCCTTCCTTCCTTCCTTCCTCCCTCCCTCCCTCCCTCCCTCTCTCTCTTTCTTTCTCTTTCTTTTTTCTTTCTTTCTTCTTTCTTTCTTTCTCTCTCTCTCTTTCTCCCCTCCCTCCCTCCCTCCCTCCCTCCCTCCCTCCCTCCCTCCCTCCCTTCCTTCCTTCCTTCCTTCCTTCCTTCCTTCCTTCCTTCCTTCCTTCCTTCCTTCCTTCCTTCCTTCCTTCCTTCCTTCCTTCACATATGGGGTCTTGCTTTGTTCCCCAGGCTGTTCTGAACTCCCGGTCTCAAGCAATCCTCCTGCCTGAGACTCCTAAAGTGCTAGGATTACAGGCGTATGCCACCGTGTCCATCCTAGTTCCAGAACTTTTTCATCAGCCCAAACAAACCCTAAGCCCATTAGCAGTCATTCCCACACTCCTTTCTATCCCCAGCCCCTGTCAACTAATAATCAGTTTTCTGTCTCTATGAATTTGCCTATTCTGGACATTTCATATCAATGGAATCATACAACATGTGTTCCTTTGTGACTAGCTTCTTTCACTTTGCATAAAAGTTTCTCCCCCTCCCCCACAAAGGATATTGCCCCCCCTTTTTAAAAATTGAGACAGGGTCTTTCTCTGTCACCCAGGCAGGAGTGCATTGGTGCAATCACGGCTCACTGCAACTTCCACTGCCAGGGCTCAAGCGATTCTCCCACCTCAGCCTCCCAGATAGCTGAGACTACAGGCATGCACCACCATGCCTGGTTAATTTTTGTTTTTGGTAGAGATGGGGTCTCACCGTGTTGCCCAGGGTGGTCTTGAACTCCTGGGCTCAGATGACCAGCCCACCTCGGCCTCCTGAAGTGCTGGGATTACAGGCATGAGCCACCACACCTGGCCAGTGTAATGTTTCTAAGGTTCATCCGTGCCTTAGCATGAGTCGGTGCTTCATTCCTTTTTGTGGCTGAATAGTATTCCTCTGCGTGAGTGCAGTCATCCCTCGGTGTCCGAAGGGGATTGGTTCCAGGACTCTCCTGGGATTCCAGATCCATGGGTGATCGAGTCCCTTACAGCCTCCTATCTGAGGGTGCAGAACCACGGATGTGGAGGGCCGCTGTCGCCTACATTTTGTTTATCCATTTGTTGATGGACATTTGGGTTGCATCTATCTTTGGGCTATTGCGAAGAGTGCTGTTAGAAACATTGGTGTATAAGTTTTTGTTTGAGCAGCTGTTTTTAATTCTTTTGGGTATATACCAAGGATGTGTGTACTATTTTATCATCTACATTTTGAAGCCTTGAAAGATGAAGGAGGAGGAGGAGGAGGAAAAGGAGGAGGAGGAAGAAGAATGAATTCAGGAATGGAGGTGATAGAAAACTTTAAGCAGAGAGCACAGCCCATAGAAGGGGGTTTGCGCTCTGCTTCCCCAGCACATGGCGGGGGTGGGGTTGGGGGTCTTGCATTAGGGCATAAAGGAGGCCAGTGTGGCGGAGAGAGGCCAGAGCTGCACCCAGCGACCGTGCCGGGCCTCCG